ACTGTCCCACCACCCTCACAGGGAACAACTTCTAAGATCTCATCTCAGTCTCCCAGGATCATCCCTCGGAAGCTGCAGCGCTCCGCTGCCGGCTCAGCCAGCCCAACTCACACACCGAGTCCAAAGCAGCCACTCTGGGGAAGTCTCTTGAGGTGTTCTGGCAACTCCTACAGCACCCCAAGATCACCATCGCCACCCACCTCGTTCCACGCTCCTGTGTCCACAGGCGGCACCGGCTCCGAGACACCAAGACGGGAACCACCAGAGGAGCTGCTCTTGCCTCCTCCACCGGTAGCTTGTGTTCCGTGGGGCAGCTGTCATCTCCCGGTGCCTCTGCTGGAGGGTTCTGTGGGGTTCTGTGACCTCACACACCTGAACACGGGGAGTTCCAGAATCAACCACCCCTGTGGTCTCCATGTCCCCAAGGTCATTGTGATGCATGAGCTCTGACTGGGTCCATGGGGTGCTCTGGAGGTGCTGCAGGCATTCTCTGGGATTCTGTAGGGGTATCCCCAGGATGCCCTGGGAGTGCACAGAGACACAGGGCCGTGGAGCAAGCTGCTCTAGTGGAAGGTGTCCCTGCCCGTGCCTTTGGGGGTTGGAGCTGGCTGAGCTTTAAGGTCCCTTCCAGCCCACTCGGGATTCCATGATTCTCTGCTGTGCCAATGTCGGTCCCTCTCCACTCCTCGGAGGTGGCCGTGACGCCCTGTTCCATGGCCCACGTTGAGCTGTGACCCCTCGCATGCTCCACCTCCGGACCAAAGGCACTGAGGAAGAGCAGCCCGTGAGGGACCTCCCCGAGCCGGCTGGGCAGAGGCTGGTCCGCCCGCAGCCACTCCCAGAGCACTCCTGTGTGCCCAGCGGCCATGGGCACGATGCTGCCGCCATCCCAAAGCCCCAGTGATCTGTGGGGTGGTCTCTGGTGGCTGTAGCCCCTGTTTGAGTCCTCCATTTGTCCCCTGCAGAGCTTGGGTGCATTCCCATGAACCTCCAAATCCCCCTAAACCTCCAGTTCCCTTCCGAACCCCAAATCCCTTCCATTTACTGCCATGGGCCAACAGGGGCACTGAAGAGTCAGGGTACCCTGGGTCAAATGTAACCCCTGGTTTTGGGACACTGGCTGTTCCCCAAATGCCTGCACCACCCCAGGGAGCTTTGGGGATCTCCCCCAATGCCGAAATCCCCTCTGAACCCCCAAACTCTTCCCCTCAACACATCTCCATGCTGGGGGAATGTTGCTCACTCAAAAGCGACTGAGGGGGCCCTGGGACCCAGGTACATGGGAGATCTCCCAACATAATGTGCCCCCTACAGCACATTTTGGGGATCCCCCCCTGAACCACAAAATGTTCCTTGAACCCTCAAATCGCTCTGAACACCCAAATTCCTCCCGCTTCTGTCAATGGGGCTCCCTAGGGCATCCAATGAGATTCGGCTGCCCTGGGATTGATGGACCCCCCAGTCTCGGTAGACAGGGAGTCCCTCAAATAAATGAGCCACCCCAAAGAGTTTTGTGGACCAGCCTGAATCCCCAAATCCTCCCTGCATCCCCCCAAATTCCCCCAAACCCAAAGCCCACAGCTCCAAAGCCGCCCCGGCTCAGCACAGTGGCACAGACTTGCTAAAAAAGGGGTGTTCCGAAAAGTGGTGTTCCCCCAGCACCTGCCCTGGGGATCCATCAAGATCTCTGGAACTCCGAACACACTGGGGGGACCCCAACATTCCTTTCGGCTCAGTAGTGAATTAGGTGGGCCTAAGGGGGTGGATCCCCAAAAGGGTCACCCCAATAAAGGGGCAAACCAAAACCACACTGCACCCCAAAGGGCCCTGGAAGCACCCAAAGCAATCGTGCTGCCCCTAAATCCTAGGGTAACCCCAAATCTCCCTGAAGCAGCACAAAAGCAGGCAGGACCCCCAAGTGGGGGCCTGGGGCAGCACAAAAGTCACCCACACCCTTCCATCCCCCCAGCCCCCCCCAGATGAACCCAGGGACCCAAAAACCTGGAGGAGCCCCACCAAACACCCACCCCCAACTGGGGGTACCCCAGAAAAGCTGCTCCCCCCCTCCAATGCCACCCAGCCCCAAATTGCTCCTCGTTGCCCCCAAACCACACCCCATGGGGCAGCCCAGCTCCCCCGTCTTTGGTATCAGGGAGCTGGGGGGGCCAGCCCCAGAGTGGGGGTTGCCTAATTTGGGATGTCCCACCAAAAGACCAAGGAGGTGTGGTGGGGGATGGAGGGTAGGAAGCTCTGCAGAGGGATCTGGACAGGCTGGATCCATGGGCTGTGGCCAATGTGTTGAGGGTCAAGAAGGCAAAGTGCAGGGTCCTGCGCTTGGGCCACAACAACCCCCTGCAATGCTCCAGGTTTGGGGAAGAGGGGCTGAAAACTGCTCATGGGAAAGGAGCTGTGGGTGCTGAGTGATGGAGCTGAACATGAGCAGCTTGTGCTCAGGCAGCCAGGAAGCCACCAGCATCCTGGCCTGGATCAGCACCAGTGTGGCAGCAGGGCCAGGGCAGTGGTGGTGCCCCTGCACTGAGCACTGCTGAGGCCGCACCTCGAATCCTGGGTTCACCTCTGGGCCCCTCATTACAAGAGAGACATTGAGGTGCTGGAGAGGGGCCAGAGAAGGGCAGCGGAGCTGGTGCAGGGCCTGGAGCACAAATGTGATGGGGAAGGGCTGAGGGACCTGGGGGGGACCTGATCGCTGCCTGCCTGAGAGGAGGATGGAGCCAGGAGGGGCTGGGCTCTGCTCCCAAGGAACAAGGGATGGGACAAGAGGAAATGGCCTCAAGCTGCACCAGGGCAGGTTTAGATGGAGCTGAGGAAGAATTTCTCCGGGAAGCTAGGGACCAGGTTAGGAAAGCTGAGGCCCAGGTAGAATTCAAATAGGCTCGGGATGTTAAGGATAACAGGAAGGGATTCTTCAGGTATGTAGCAAATAAAAAGACTAGGGACAACATAGCCCCCTTCCGGAAGCTCCCGGGAGAACTGGCTACACAGGATTTGGAGAAGGCTGAGGTTCTGAATGACTTCTTTGCCTCGCTCTTCACTGGCAAAGGCTCTGACCACACCACCCAAGTCTTGGAAGGCAGATGCAGAGACTGTGAGAATGAAGACCTTGGGCCCACTGTAGGAGAGGAGCTGGCTCGAGACCATCTTAAAAATCTGAACATGCACAAGTCCATGGGGCCTAATGAAATCCATGCACAGGTCCTGAAGGAGCTGGCTAATGAAGTTGCTAAGCCACTGGCCTTCATATTTGAAAAAACATGGCAGTCAGGTGAAGTTCCTGACAACTGGAAAAAGGGAAATATAACCCCCATTTTCAAGAAGGGGAAAATGGATGACCTGGGGAATGACAGAACAGTCAGTCTCACCTCTGTCCCTGGCAAAAGCTTGGAGCAGATTCTCCTGGAAGGCATGCTAAGGCACATGAAAATCAACAAGGTGCTTGGTGACAGCCAGCAGGGCTTCACTGAGGGGAAATCCTGCCTGACCAATGTGGTGACCTTCTATGATGGGGCTACAGAACTGATGGACAGGGGCAGAGCAGTTGATGGCATCTACCTGGACTTGCGCAAAGCGTTCGACACCATCCCACACGACATCCTTGTCTCTAAATTGGAGAGACATCAATTTGATGGATGGACCACTCGGTGGATAAAGAACTGGCTGCATGGCCGCACACAAAGAGTTGTGGTCAATGGCTCAGTGTCCGGCTGGAGACCAGTAACGAGTGGGGTCCCTCAGGGATCGGGGCTGGGACCGGTCTTGTTCAACGGCCTGCGGCCGTTACAGGGGGCGGAGTCAGGTGAGGGGAGCGGAGGGGTTACTCTCCCACCCTGCGCTCTGATTGGCTCCGCGGCGCAGTGCGCGGGGCCAGGCGCTGATTGGCTGCCGTGGAAGTGGGCGGGGCGACAGGAACAGAGCGCGCGTTGGCTGGGGGGGAAAGGAGGGAGATAGGGGGCGATGGGACCCCTATGGACCCCTATAGAACCCTATGGGGCAGGGACAGGTTCACACCCACTGCTGGCTCCCCCCATGGCTTTATATGGGGGCAATGGGCGGTAATGGGGCAATGGGAGCAATTTGGGGTAAAGGGGGGCAATGTGGGTAAAGGGGGGTCTCGGGGTCTCGAGCTCTGACCCCTGCATCCTGGTACTGGAGCTGCTGCTGCTTCCCCCTCCAAGGGACTCGTAAAGAGACCCCCCTCCATGGTCAGACGCTGCAGGGGACCCATAGAGACCCCATAGAGAGACCCATAGAGACCAAACAGAGAGACTCATAGAGACCATATAGATCCACAGCCCACAGAGGCTCATAGAGACCCCATAGAGACTCATAGAGACCCATAGAGATCCATAGACACCGCAGAGATCCTGAAAGCGACCCAAAGTGAACCATAGAGACGCCCATAGAGACCCCATAGAGACCCATAGACTACAGGGACTACAACCTGATCATGCAACGCGGCACCCATACAGTCCCTTTGCGGTGGCGCCCAGCCGGGACTACTACTCCCATCATGCAGCGCGGCACCCATTGAGCCCTGTTATGGCCGCGCCCAGTTATGACTACAACTCCCATCATACCCTGCGGCTCCCATAGAACACCATTATACAGACGCCAGGCGGTACTACGACTCCCATCATGCCGCGCGGCAACCAGAGAGCACCACGAGGGCGTCGCCCAGCCTGGACTACAACTCCCATGATGCAGTGCGACAGCCCTACAGCACCACTAAGGCACTGCCCGGCTTGGCCTACAACTCCCGTCGTGCCGCGCGGCGCTCCCAGCGCGCCAATTTCGCCCATCATGGCGGAGCTGGAGCTCCCCTCCGATCCCGACCTGCGCAGGTTGGAGCCCGCGGGACCCCCCAGTGGGGGCTTTTGGGGCCCTGGGGGGTTGGGGTGCTCCTGACCCCCTCTCTTTGTCTCCCCCCACCTCCAGGCTGTGCACGGGGCCCTGTGCCCCCATCCGGGAGTACATCATGGGCCATGTGCGGCACCGCGGTGAGGGGGGCACCCCAACATGTTGGGGGGAGGAATTGCAACATCTGGAGGGACCCCAAACCTCGGATCGGTCCCTAAAATACATGGCGGGGGGGGGGGTGTGTGTTCATATAGGAATGTGAAGAAGATCAAAGGGAACCTGCTGTGGTATCCGCTGCACCCAAAAAAGGGGGGTGGACCCAAAGCTGCCCCCTCTGGGGACCCCCAAGCTCCTTGGAGAGCCTCCAAAACCCCTCCAAAATTGCATTGGGATCCCAAGACCCACCCCAGCACCCCCCAGTTCCCCCTGTGAGTCCCCCAACCTCTTTTCTCCTCCCAAATCCATGCACAGGAGCCCCAGATTCCTTTAGGACAACTCCAAATCCCATTGGGATCCCCAGGAACCCCCAATTCCCTCCCATGACACCCCCACCGACCCCCCCCAACTCCTCCTTTAACCCCCGTTTCCTCCTTAACTCGGGGCTCAGGTACTGGCACCTCGAGGAGATTCAGGTTTGGGTGGGGGAGGGTTTGGGGGGGGCTCTATGGGGTTTTGGGGAGTCCCAGAGGGATGGGGGGGGCAAGATTTGGGCGGGGGTGCAAATTTGAGGGGTGGTGGAGGGAGAAAAAATGGGGCTTAAGGATGGGGGGGTGGTGTCCTCAGGTGACCTTTAGTGTCTCACCCCAGCGAGGGGCGGGGTCAAGCACGCCTTATATGGAAGTGCATGAGGCCTTGGAGCAGGTGAGGGCGGAGCTTAAAGTGATGGGCGGGGCCGTGGGCGAGGCCGGGGCAGCGGTGCTGGAGCTGGGTGAGTTCATTGTGGGGTGGGGGGTAAAGAGGCTGGGCTACCGGTCACCTGACCTGAGGATCTGCCCCCTTTGTTTGCTTGTAGAAGAGGCACTGGGGGCGGAGCTTAACGGCCAGGGGGCGGAGCGTCGCCGGGGCAGGAGCTTCACGCCCTGGGGGCGGAGGCGGCGCAGGAGGGGCTGCGGCGCAGGAGGGAGCGGGCCCAGATAAGCTCCGCCCACCCGTAAGCGAGGAGTGGGCGGGGCTTCTTCATGGGTATCCCAATGGGGGCGGGGGGCAGCATTCCCATGATGCTCTGCGCTTGCAGGGAGCCGGGGCCAAAGGTGGGACTAACGTCGAAATTGCCGGTAAGAAGGGGCGGGGCTTATTGGGAAGGAGGAGGGGCTTATGGGAGGGGGAGGGGGTCTGAGCGTGGCCACGCCCCCATTTCCCCGCCCGCCCGCCCCCCCCCCCCCCCCCCCCCCCCCAGGCCGTGTGCAAGCTGCGGGAGGAGGCCCTGGAGGAGCTTATGAGGGGTGGGGCTTAGGGGGAGGAGCTTAGGAGAGGGGAGGGACTTAAGAAATGGGGCTTTGGGAGGGGGTGGAGCTTGGGGAAGGGTCAGAGCCAGTGGGCTGCTGGGGGTGCGGCTTAAAGGGGGCAGGACTTCCCTTATAAGGTTCTGAGGGTGTGGCCCCAGGGCACTAGGAAAGGGGCGGGGCTACCGGTGGGTGGAGCCAACGGGGGGGGGGTTGCGTCCTCCCCCCATTCCCCGTTGTTCCATTGCAGGAAGGGCTACCCCAAAATCAGCCCTGACCTTGACCCCAACCCTGACCCTGATGCTCAGCCCCATATGAAGACCCTCATCCAGGTAAATAGGGGCACTTGAGGGGCACATTTGGGGGTGCTTTAGGGCTCGGAGCTCCCCATTGATGTGGGATCCCCCCTTTGCACCTCCTAGGACTGCTGGGTGGATGTGGGGGGACTCTGGGACCTCATCCACTCCTTGGCCTCCCACCTGTCCCCCCTGAGGCTCCGGCTCCTCCAGCTGCAGGAGGAGATCCAGCAGCGCCTGGAGGGGGACCCCAAAGCCCAGCAGGCTGCCAGGTAAAACCCTGCACTCCAAAACACCTCCCTGAACCCCAAAACCACCCCTCTGCACCCCAAAACACCTACTTGCACTCCAGAACCATTCCCCCTGCACCCCAAAGCACACCCCCTGCATCTAAAAACACCCCCTCTGCACCCCAAAACAATCCACTACATTTGAAACCATCTCCCCTGCACCCCAAAACCTTATCCCCTGCACCTCAAAACACACCCCCGCACCCTAAAACCACCCCCATGCACCCCAGAACCCACACGGCACCGCAAACCAACTCCCCTGCACCCCAAAACCTCCCTGTGGATTCCCTCATGCACCCAAAACCTCTCAACGACCCCTTGAATGCGTCCTGCAGCCCGGTTTCCCCCCCTGCACCCCAAAACTGCCCCTGGGCACTCCCCCATGACCTTTTCCTCCCCACTCCTGAACCTCAGAACCCTTTAGGGATCTTCTCTGTACTTTAAACCCCACTGGGTTTCCTTCTGAAGTGGGTGCTGGGCTCATAGGGGTCCTTAAAGCCCCCCCAGATTCTCCCTAAACCCAGTGCTGGGACCTTTTGGGGTGCCCCCAATCCCTCCATGGTCCCTGCAGTCCTTTTATGGTCCCGTTCCCCCCCAAAAAGGGTTCTTGAACCCCTTTGGGCCTCCCAAACTCCCCTCAACATTTGGCTTTGGGGCCCCATTGCCCCCCAGGTTGATGCTGGAGGCCGCAGGGCTCTCAGGGGCTCGGGAGGCCCTGATCCAGCAGATCCAGGAGCTACGGGGCAGCCCCATGGACTCCCCAGAAGCTGCCCTGGGGCCACTGAGGAGGCAGCTGCAGGAGGGGAAGCAGCGGCTGGTGGGTGCCAACGGGGGAATGTGGGGATTTGGGGGGGGTCCTGATGGGCTTGGGGGGGTCTGGGGGGTGGAATTTGATGGTTATGGGGAGGGGTTGGGGTCCCTAAAGGGTCTCAGCACCACTTTTTGGGAGGGATTCGGGATATTTGGGGGTCCTGAAGGGGGATTTTGGGTCTATAGGGGATGATATGGAGGAGTTTGGGGCTTTAGGGGGGATTTTGGGGATTCAGCATTGCTGGGAGGGGGATCTGGGGTTCTGGATTGGTTTGGGGTGAAGGGAGAGGTTTTGGGGAGAAATATGGGGCGATATTTAAGGTGTTTGGGGGTCTTGGGGGGTATTTGGGTCCCTCCCATGGCTTTGGGGTCCCTCATTTCCTTGTGTCCCCCCCACCCCTTCCAGTCCCGCCGCTGGATCCAGCTCCGGGCTCTGGCCCCATCCAATGAGAAGCTCCGGGCTCAGCTGTGCCCCCTGCAGGCCCAGGTAAGGAACGAGGGGGAGGGAAGTGAGGCGGGGCTTAATGGTGAGTGGGCGAGGCCTCAGAGCTTTGGCCACGCCCCTTTCAGGCCCGAGGAGCTGTGCGGCTCCCCCCAGGGCTGCAGGGGGAAGGGCAGCGGCTGCAGGAAGCGCTGAGCATGCTGGGAAAGGAGAGGGTGCCCCTCCCCCCGAGGTGAGTGAATTGGGAGGGGGGGAGGGTGGTGGGGGAGGGGGGAAGGGCTGTGCTGACCCCTCCATTCTCCCTCTAGCCCCGCCCACAGCCCACTGCAGCCAATCAGACGTGCTCTAGGAATGGCAGAGAGTGAGGTGGGGGAGGGGAATTGGAAGGAGGGGCCATAGAGGGGGCAGGGGTCATAAAGAGGGGGAAGGCCATAAAGGGGGAAGAGCAATGCGAGAAGGGGACATAAAGGGGGGAGGGGCAATGGGGCCGTTGCTCAGGTGTGTTTGTGCCTCAGCCCCCACAGGGGGCGCTGTTGCAGGCGGCAGAGCTGCGGGGGGGGGGAGCTGGAACAGCTGCAGGGGGTGAGGTCAGCGCAAGGGGCGGGACCCTGGAACCCCCGCCCACCCCGCGGTGAGTGAGGGGGACGAGCTGGGGGGTGAGGGTGTGGCCTGCGCTGACCCTGTCCCTTTGCAGCACCCGCAGAGGGCGTGGCCATCGCGGAGCTCCTCCCCCAGCTGCAGGCGCTGTCCATTCGGGTCCAGCAGTACCTCGAGGGCTGGCCCCACCTCCAGGACGTCATCAGCCAATGGTGAGACGGCAAGGGTGGGTCTGTGAGAGGCCACGCCCACCATGTGTGATGTCACATTCCCCCTTCCCCCCTCCTTCGTCTTTCATAGGTGGGAGCAGCCAGCTCAGTGGATACCGGCCACGCCCCCCAGCAACATCCCCTTCTCCCATTGGCTGAAGCGCTGGTCCCAGGCCACCCGTACCCTAAACTTGCACCGCCCCCTCCCCTTAGCGCCGCCCACCACCGACAAGGAAGGGTGTGACCAGAGCAAGCCCCAACCCTGAGCCTCGGTTTCATCAGATGCTCCTATTGGATGGGGTGCAGGAGGCAGGGCTTGGAGGGGGGTGTGGCCACAAGGCTACGGTCCTGGAAGCGGAATAGAGTAGGTCCTACAGAAATAGAGCAGTAAATAAAGCAGGTCCTGTGTTAATTACATGTAAATGAGGTTGCACCCATGTTAATGAGATGCAAAGCATGTCTTGTGTTAATAAATTCGTCCCGCCTGCAGTAACAGCATGTCAACAAGCCAGAGCCTCCAATAACAATGCACAGATAACGTGTGGCCTACAGTAACACATAAATAAAGCAGGTCCTACAGTAACGAAAGTGTAAACAAAGCAGGTCCTGACATAATAAATTCCCTTATAAAGCACGACCTACAATAACAGCCTGGGAATGAAGTAGGACCTACAGGAATATGTAAATTAGACAGGCTCTATGTTAATGACGGGTACATAAAAGTAGATCCTACATTGAGAACTTGTAAATAAGTTACTCAGTAAAGCGGGTCCTGACATAACAACCACCCCCAATACAGTAGGTCCTGCGGTAATGAAACTGTAAATACTGGCGGTCCTGCCATAACAACATGTAAATAAAGTAGGCCCTACATTAATAACTCCCTCAAAAAAATGGATCCTACAATAATACCTCCTCGATAAAGTAGGACCTACAATAAGGGCCCATAAATGAAGTAGGTCCTGCCCCAATACCCTGTCAATAGAGCAGATCCGACAGCAACTGTACATAAAATAGGTCCTACATTAATAAGTGAGTAAATACAGGAGGTCCTGGCACAGCACCATGTAAATACAGGAGGTCCTACAGTAAGAACGTGCAAATACGAGTGGCTCCATGTTAATGACATGTAAATAAAGCAGGTCCTCCACTAAAAGGACGCAAATTAAGTAGGCCCTCCATTAATAACATGTAAATAAGGAAGGGTCTGTGTTAGTAACATGTAAATAAGTTCAACCCTACATGAACTGCGTGTGAGTAAAGCAGGTCCTACGCTAATTGCATGTAAATAAGGGGGGGGGTAACGATGGTGGGATGAGAAATGGGGAGGGATGGAGGGAGAGGGGGAGAAATGGCAGGAATGTGGGGAATGGGGGTGGGAAAAAGGGGGAGGGGGTATGGGGGGCATAAGGGGGGGAGGAGAAGAGGGGACAAATGATGGGGCAGGGGCAAGGAAAAGCCCCATATTCAGCCCCATGGGGGGCAGCCGGGACGGGCTTAAATGGGGACACGAGTTGGGGAGCTCAGAGCTCATTGGCTGTTGCCTGGGCGATGGTCGCCAGAACACGCCGGGGGGGGGGGGGGGGGGGGGGGGGGCAAGGTTGCCTGGCAACGCGCAGCACGGTGGAAGCTCACTGGCTGTCACCTGGCAACGTGCGGGAAGCGGTACGCGGAGACCCCGTTGCCTAGCAACCAACCCGGAAGTGCGGCGAGCATCGCCGAACGGGGATGGGGAAAGGCCGAAACGCGGGGGAGGGGGGGAGAAGAGGCCTCGATTTCCTGTGAGATCTTCATTTATTGGTTAATTTTCCTTTTTATACAGTCTTAAGGTGACGCCTCCCGCCTTCCCTCCCCTTTCCCCCCCCCCCCCCGCTATTTACATTGGTGTCAACAAGGCTTCGGATCGACCCCCCCCATCCCCCCTTTATCCTCCCCTCTCCCATCCCGGGTATAAAGAGGGGGGGAGGTCCCCAACCCCGACACCCCCGGGTGGGGGATGGGAGGTTGTGTCCATTGGGGACCCCCCCCCCCCCCGTTTTGGAAGCTGAGGGCACCCAGGGGTGCTCCGGGAGTGGCTGCGGGGGGACCAGCCTCTGCCCAGCCGGCTCGGGGAGGTCCCTCACGGGCTGCTCTTCCTCAGTGCCTTTGGTCCGGAGGTGGAGCATGCGAGGGGTCACAGCTCAACCTGGCCCATGGAACAGGGCGTCACAGCCACCTACGAGGAGTGGAGAGGGACCAACATTGGCACAGCAGAGAATCATGGAATCCTAGAGTGGGCTGGGCTGGGCTGGAAGGGACCTTAAAGCTCACCCAGCTCCAACCCCCAAAGGCACGGGCAGGGACACCTTCCACTAGAGCAGATTGCTCCACGGCCCTGTGTCTCTGTGCACTCCCAGGGCATCCTGGGGATACCCCTACAGAATCCCAGAGAATGCCTGCAGCACCTCCAGAGCACCCCATGGACCCAGTCAGAGCTCATGCATCACAATGACCTTGGGGACATGGAGACCACAGGGGTGGTTGATTCTGGAACTCCCCCTGTTCAGGTGTATGGGGTCACAGAACCCCACAGAACCCTCCAGCAGAGGCACCGGGAGATGACAGCTGCCCCACGGAACACAAGCTACCGGTGGAGGAGGCAAGAGCAGCTCCTCTGGTGGTTCCCGTCTTGGTGTCTCGGAGCCGGTGCTGCCTGTGGACAGAGGAGTGTGGAACGAGGTGGGTGGCGATGGCGATCTTGGGGTGCTGTAGAAGTTGCCAGAACACCTCAAGAGACTTCCCCAGAGTGGCTGCTTTGGACTCGGTGTGTGAGTTGGGCTGGCTGAGCCGGCAGCGGAGCGCTGCGGCTGCAGAGGGATGATCCTGGGATCTGCCCTCATTTCTTGTGGGGAGAGCAAGGGCCTGTGGGGATGGGACAAGGGGGAACGATTTTAACGTGACCGAGAGGGGAGATTGAGATGAGATCTTAGAAGTTGTTCCCTGTGAGGGTGGTGGGACAGTGGCACAGGGTGCCCAGAGAAGCTGTGGCTGCCCCGTGGCTGGCAGTGCTCAAGGCCAGGTTGAATGGAGCTTGGAGCAAGCTGCTCTAGTGGAAGTTGTCTCTGCCAGTGGCAGGGGTTGGAGCTGGAGGAGCTTTAAGGTCCCTCCGAATCCAAACCATTGTGTGCTTCCGTGATATCCTCAAGTCCCCTGGGGGGAAGTGAGTGAACAAGCTGTCTGGCTGGGTTTAAACCACAACAGCAAGGCAAGGGAAGGGAAGGCAAGGCCAGGCAAGACAGGTGAGACCAGGCCAGGAGAGGCAAGGCAAGACAAGGCAACGGAAGGCAAGGCCCATGAAGGGAAGGCCAGACCAGGTCAGGCAAGGAAAGGCAAGGCCAGTTAAGGCAAGGCAAGGCTAGTCCAGGTCTAGACAGGCCATGCAAGGCCAGGTAAGGCCAGGTAAGGAAAGGCCAGGCAAGGCCAAGCAGGTCAGGTCCAGGCCAGGCCAGGCCAGGCTAATAAAGGCAATGCAAGGCCAGGAAATCACAGGGAAGGCAAAGCCAGGCCAGGCCAGAAAAGGACAGGCCACTCAAGGCCAGGCCAGGCAAAACCAGGGACGGCCAGGCCAGGCCATGCCATGCCAGCCGAGGCAAGGCAAGGCAAGGCAAGGCCATTCCAGGACAGGCAATGCTAGGCCAGGTAAGGCAGGGTAAAGCAATGCAAGGCACGGCCAGTCAAGGGCAGGCAACCCAAGGCCAGGTTAGGCTAGGTAAGTCAAGACAAGGAAAGGCCAGGCAAGGCAAGGCAAGACAAGGCAAGGCAAGTGAAGGCAAGGCCAGGCCAGGGCAGGCAAGGCAAGGCAAGAGAAGACAAGACAAGGCAAGGCCCGGCCAGGCCAGGCCAAGCCATGCAAGACAAGACCAGACCAGGCCAGGCAAGGCAAGGCCAAGCGAGGTAAGTCTAGTTCAGGACTGGCCAGTCCATGCAAGGCCCGGTGAAGGCCAGGTAAGGCAAGGGAAGGCAAGGCAAAGCCCATACAGTAGTAGCAGTGCAGGACAGGCAAGGGCAGGTAAGGCAAGGCCAGGCCAGGTAAGGGCAGGTAAGGGCAGGTAAGGTCAGCCCAATCAAGGCCAGCCAGGGCAAGGCCAGGCCAGGTTAGAGCAGGTAAGTCAAGGCCAGGACAGGTAAGGCCAGGCAAGGGCAGGTAAGGTCAGCCCAATCAAGGCCAGCCAGGGCAAGGCCAGGCCAGGTTAGGCCATGCAAGGCAGGGCTAGGCTAGGAAAGGCAAGGCCAGGCCATGACAGTCTTGGTCAGGCTATACCAAGCACGGCCAGGCAAGGCCAGTCCAGGCAAGGCCAAGCAGGTCAAGGCCAGGCCAGGGAATTCAAGGCCAGGCCAGGCCATGACAGGCCAGGCTAGGCAAGGGAATTCAAAGCAAGGCAAGGCTAGGTAAGGCAAGACAATGCAAGGCATAGCAAGTCCACGACAGGCAATGCAAGGCCAGCTAAGGCCAGGCTATGCCAGGCCAGGCCAGGCCAGTCAAGGCCAGGCAAGACAAGGCAATAAAAGACAAGGCAAGGCCAAGTCAAGCCATGCAAGGAAAGTCAAGACCAGACCAGGCAAGGCAAGGCAATGAAAGGCAAGGCAAGGCAAGGCAAGGCAAGGCCAGGCAATGTCAGGCCAGATTAGTCAAGGCCTGGGAAGGCAAGGCCAGGCCAGGTCATGACAGGCCAGGCCAAGCAAGGCAATTCAAGTCAAGGCAAGTCAAGACAAGTCAAGGCAAGGCTAGGCAAGGAACGGGAAAGCAAGGCAAGTCCAGGATAGGCAATGCAAGGCCAGTAAAGGTAAGACAAGGAAATACAAGGGAAGGCAAGGCAAGGCAAGGCAAGGCCAGGCAAGGCAATGTCAGGCATGGCCAGGCCAGGCAAGTCATGGCAAGGCTAGGCCAGGCAAGGCAAGACAAGGCAAGGCAAGGCAAGACAAGGCAAGGCAAGGCAAGGGAAGGCAAGGCCAGGCAAGGGAAGGTAAGTGTAGGCAAGGCAAGGCAAGTCTGGGACTAGGCAGTCCATACAAGGCCAGGTAAGCCTAGTCAAGGCCAGGTAAGGCCAGGTCAGGAAAATCCAGGGAAGGCCAGCAGGGCAAGGCAAGGCAAAGCAAGGCAAGGCAGTGCAAGGCCAGGCAACGCAAGGTAAGGTTAGGCAAGGCAAGGCCAGTCCAGAACTGGCCAGTCTCTGCAAGGCCAGGTAAAGGCCAGGTAAGGCAAAGTAAGGCAAGGTAAGGCAAAGTAAGACAAGGCATGGCCCATACAGTAGTAGAAATGCAGG